GTCAGTCCCTCTTCTGGCCTGCAGGAGAGGCCAGTGGCCCCCAAGTCAGACATTTCTATTTTCAGCTCCCCAAGTCCAGAGTGCAGTAACCTCCACCTCGCCCAGGGCCACACTGCTAACCCACCAGCAGCACGGGGCCTGCTGCCTCTCTGCGTTTCCATTTCCATAAATTTACATCAAATTTGTGCTGAATCATATCCCCCCCACGCAGAAGAAATGAAATACATTATCAATAAGTACAACAAATTTGAATAATCTGAGAACGGATGACTTTTCCTGTCTCTTTTCCATTTAACTCCTTCCGTGGGCTGCATCTCCATCCACTTCCCTCTCCAGCCTGGGGTTGGGTTTCTCCCCACCCCGCCGGCGCTGGTGGTTTTCCGATCTCCTCCCGTGGTTCTTTATCTTTGGGTGTCTCCTCCAGCGCCCCAGGCCCTGTCTCTCTCTGTCTCTCAACTCCTTTCTGGTCATCCTCCTTTCCTCCTGACATCTTAGTCCCCCTTCTGGGAACCCCTCCAACAGCCAAGGAGTGGCCTTTCCGCATCTGCTCCTCCCCACCCCTTGTCTCCCGCAACGCCCAAGCCAATCATGCCCAAGCCTGTGCCCCCTTAGGGTGACAACTACGGGTACCCGGCCTGCCAGGCCGTCATCAGCCCCACTCAGTCATTTTGAGTGCTGCGGTTCAGCAGGGAGTACAACTTCCTTCCATCCCCTGCTGCCCGGCTGATTGGCAGCCAGCGGGGCTGGAGGGGAGCAGCTCGCGCTGATTGTTTGCCGCTGGGCAGGGAGGGCTTGGCAGGGGTGGCCGTGAGAGGACCTGGGAGCTCAGGGGTCTAAGACACACAGAGGATTCCCTGAGACAGGAACCCGGCCAGAATCCCCCATCTGCCCCTTTGGTGTCTGGCTGCTGGCCTCTGTAGGGAAATGATGGATGAGGTCCCTCCCAGAGAACCTCTAGGTAGGGGGAGGAGAGAGAGGCTTATCTTCTACAGAATTGAGGCCAGTGTTTCAGGGGCCCTCAGGTCTCAGGCCTCTGCAGGAGGCCTGGCTGTGGCACTCACCAGGACCTGCAGTCTCCTGACCCTGGTTAAAACCAAGAGGAAATGAAGTAGTTTAGCAGCCAGGCTATAGGGGCTCCTGGCAGGACCTGTCAAAATGGCCCGCCTGGCTCATATAGAGCTAATTAATATATGTATGTACACACATACACACACACACACCCACACCCCATTATAAACAACAGTCATTATGAATTGTTTTCTGCCCAGATTGAGTTTCTTAACTGAGGCTGGAGAAAAGTCACTGGGGAAAAAAGTGGCCATGAATATTGCCCCAACTATACAGTTCAGAGAGAAGCCCGGCCAAAATCTCTACTGGAGATTTGCTTAGTTTCTTTTAATGAGAACTCCAACAGCCAGAATTTTGCTTGGGCAGCCAGAATTTGAACTGAAATACTGTCTGGAGAAGTCACATCAAAAGCTTTAGGGCTTTCCCGCGTGTCTGGAGCTGCTGAGACCTGGCCAGAGTCTTCGTGCAAGTCAGTATAGAACCCATAATGAAAGCTTAGGTTGCTAACAATAAGTTCAAATCATCCTTTCTTTCCCAATATTTCCAGAGATTTTTTTTTGTTGTTGTTTTCATCAGTCTGTGCTGGCTCAAGTGTTTAGATTAAGTTATTTTGGAGTTTCCACATCTAAAATCCTCTCAAACTTTTAAAAGTGAAAAGCATTACTCAAAGGCATCTAAGTACTTTCTTCTAACACTATAGGTGCACATAAATAAATCAATAAAACTGGTCCTGGGGCTATGAATTTATATGGAAAAATTAGGTCCCTAGAGATGAGTTTTCAGAAAGCTAAGGGGATGTGAAAATAGAGGCTAAAGCAAACGTTTCAATACTTTGTAACAGGGTGGCACATTTAAGACAAGGGCACCAGGTTTTAAAGTGGTCCCGTGCAAATGGACAGTCGGATGGGACATTTAATGTAATGCTTTTATCAGGGATAAAGATAGTTGGTGTATAGGTTTATTTTTTCTTTGAAAAAAGCTAACCACAATATAGTTAGCTCTCTTTTTTGTCAGTCTGGGCTGCTGTTGATGAGGTATCTAGAGGCCTTCTGGTATAGGTGCCTAAAACGTTAAACTGCATTTAATTATTATTATTACTCAATGTCAGGCTACATAAATGAAAAGAGATAAAAAAGAATCGCTTGCAGCTACATTGCCTTGGTTTGTGATTTCATCGCATCTCACAAGCGAAGCAGGTTTGAGCTGGCACTTGGGGCATGAAACCTCCAAGGAAAACCCAGGCAGCTAGAGATGCTGTTTCAACTGAGTTGAAATCTCTTCACATTCTGGGGAGGGTAGAGGCTTGTCACGCTTTGATTTTCCTCCCCAACTTTATTTTTAAGTACCGTAATAACTGTCTGACTTATTTCAGAGAAGGAAAGCAAATAGGGGAAATGGAGTCACAGGGACAGTGGTCTTAAAGGCACATAGTCTGGAATGCGAAGATTTCTTGGCTCCCAACACTCATTGATTGTCTGTCTTGCTGCCTGAAATACCAGTGAGGGCGCCAAAGGAGCAGTGGTATATCATGAAGGGCTCAGCTAACTGTGGAAACTGGAATGGGCTTTCCCACCTGAATGCAGGCAGAGAGCAAAGTGCAGACAAGGAGGCTCAAAAGGCAGATGGACCAAGTTCTGCCCACTTTTCCTACAGTCTATTTCATCCACAGGTCAGGATGAAAACAGATGGTTTGCCAGAGGGCAATATATTGGCGAACAGTACCTTGCTTTTTAGGCATGAGACGTCAAGCTTAGGAACAAATGCTTGGCACTGAGTTAATTAACTCTAGACATTCAGCTCAAGGATGACCTTCTTTCTACCTCCTTAGATTAAAAAGATAATGAGTTAGGCAGCCCAGAATGGTCAGAAGACCAGAAGAAACTTTAGTTGCATTCTAGCTCCCACTTTTTTTCTGTTGTTCTCTAGCACATTAGTTTGCAAGCCCCCTAGGACAGGGACCATGGTGTGCAATGTTATTGAACTTCCCCAGGATGACTGCTGCAGTTGTATACAACAGGCAGAAAACCAATGTGCTGACTAATATGCCGGTTCCTTTTCTTAGCTCCTGGCCAGTCAGTCTGTTTAGATGATGCCAGCCAGTTCTTTAGATTATGATGCCAGAGACTGTTGCTTTTTGAAGGGCTGCCAGGGAGAGTTCAAGCCGTTCAGGCCCTTCATCAGTTATGTCACAATCCATTTCAGTTACCTGTTGATACCTAGCAAATAGCCCTAAAACTTAGTGGCTTAAACTCAACTATTTATTTAGTATGTGATGCTGTGAGTCAGCTGGTTGAACAAGGCTCAGCTGGGTGATTCTTCTGCTGGTCTCAGCTGGGCTCACTCATGTGCTTGTCATCAGCTGGGGTGGCGGAGGGGAGGTAGTCAGTGGCCTCACTCACACATCTGGTGATGGTTGGCTGTTGGTTGGGAATCCTATCTTAACCAGCAAGCTATTCTGAGCTTATTTACAAGGTGGTGATCACAGGTTTCCAAGAGCAGAAGCAAGAGTAAGTCCCGATGCACAATTGATTTAAAAGCCTTTATTTATTTTTTTGTTCCAGTAACACATGTACAAATGTTGCTTTGGCCAAAGCAAGTTACATGACTGAGCACAGAGTGAAAGTTAGAGACTGTGGCAGGGCAAGGGACAAAGAAGGGGAATGATTGCAGCCATTTTGCAATCTACCATGTGCAAAACAAGGCCAAGAACAAACTTTCAAGGTGATACTTCATTCCTAGATTTTCAAGATGCTGGAGCGAGAAGTCCTAGTTGAGTCCCTGTTTCTCTACGTTTCAGGCCTCAGTTTCCCCATCTGACAGATGGGGATAACATCCATTTCACAGGATTGATCCAGGATCAACAGGGGCTAAAAAATTATAAATAAATGTTGGCGATGATGCTTCCACAACTGTACAATGGGTTCACAACTTCTCAACCTACTTGCTCATCTCCACACACAGCGTTTCTGCGAGTACAGAGGGCTCACTATTGATGCTGGTCCAAGAGGGGATTTTAGGTGTCATAAGAACACCACACTGAATACAATTGACTTATGTGTGAGATACACCTTCCCTCTGTCATTCTGTTTCAGTCCTTCCTCTTAGGAGAAATCTCAGCTTCATGCCAATGTCTTCCCTTTTTGCTAATTATTTTATTGTTTTAAAGAGGGGGTGTCTCGCTTTGTTGCCCAGGTGGTCTTGAACTCCTGCCCTCAAGGGATCCTCCTGCCTCAACCTCCCAAGGTGCTGGGATTAAGGCACGAGCCATAGAATGCCACCAGTGCCAATTTGTCTTTGACTCCTCTCCCAACCCATGCTAACCATCTCCCTCAGAGTTTTTGGCCCTATTCACAATTGAACAATGCTTTATTTTCCATTTTTACATTTGCTTTCTATTTATGACAGCTGAACCGTTAAAAAAGTAAATATAAGCAAACATTAATAGTTTAAAAAACAATGCTAAGTATATAATAAAACGTGGTTCATTCATTCTCGCATTCAACAAACATTCGTTCAACAAATATTTGTAGAGCATCTCCTATGGGCCAGGATTGCCAAAGGCGCATCTACGAACCTAGAAAACCCCTGCCCTCGGGGAGCTTTCATTCTACGGGTGGGAGTCGTGATGGTGGTCGGAGGAGGACTGGATTTGGGGATTTGTTTCTTGCGGGGGACACAGGACTGCCCGTGGGGCCCGCCTTCCGCGCAGAGCGCTGACGGGTCCGATGTGACCTGTAGGCTGAGACCCCGGCTTCCCCTTGCCTAGAGGCCGGGCAGGGGGCGCGGAGCCCGGGGTCGCGGGGCTGAGGGAGCGGGGCTCGTGGGCGGAGGACGCAGGGCGGGCCCGGCGGGGCTCGGCTGCGGCCCGGGCTGTGTCTGCTGCCCCAGCGGCCGCGCCCCTCCTCCCTTTCCTCCCGCGGAGGCTGACGTGGAGTCAACAGCGCGGGCGGCCGCGGGAGGCGGCGGCGCAGCGGCTCGGAGGCGCCGGGCCCTCTCGGGGCCGCGCGGGGCCCGGGCAGCGGAGGCGGCGGCGGTGACGCCGCGAGGAGGCGGAGGAGGAGGAGAAGGAGGAGGAGGCGGGGGTCCAGGAGGCCGGCCCGCGCATGGAGGAGGAGACCATGAACGGCGACCGGACCGAGAGCGACTGGCAGGGGCTGGTGAGCGAGGTGAGGCCTCGGCGCCGGCCAGGCGGGATGGGCCGGGCCGAGCGGCCGCCGTTCCGGGCCAGCGCCCCCAGAGAGACAGAGAGGGGAGGGACTAGCGGGGGGCGCGCACCCCAAGCGGCCGCGGCTGCCGCCCCCGCGCGACCCCGCCAGGTGCGCCGCTCCTCCCGCACTTTCGGGTCTGCGCGGGCGCCACTTTCTTCCGCGCCATCTGGTGTCAGCCTTTGGGGAGGGGCCTTCCCCCCAGGCAGGGGTTGGCCCTGGATTGGAGGCTGAAGCCCTGGGATCCGGGAGGAGAAGGTGCCAAGCCCCACCTGCCTGCCTGCTCGCGACTGTTGTGGAGCCAAACCATTGGACGCCTGGGACTGAAACGGGAAGGTGGTGCCTTGGGGTAGAATCCGAGCCCTGGGGTGGCACCTGGGCCAGGTGGAATTCGGTGGTTCGAGTTGGGGGAGTTCGGGGGTCCGTCGCAGCCGTTCACTCATTCACTTGCTCAATTCAGTCAGCACGTGTTTACTGCAGGCCTACCATGTGTAAGGTGGGGAGGGGCATTTATCAAAAAAGTGAAACACAGGTGCAGAAGTGATTCGATTTGTGGAAGCACAGAACAACGTGTCCCCCTGCCCTGAGACTCTTTTGTCATAAACATACCCTGGGGGTCCGCTTTCAGCCTCCTATGCTATTTGCTCTTCAGTCCCCGCTAAGAGAAGCTGCTGGCCTCTCCAGGTGAGAGGGAACGCGGATGTCTTCCTCTCGCAGGTAAGTTGCCCTGATTTGCCACCATTTGTGGGGGCAGTTCCTGGTGTTACTTACCCATGCCAGGGAATTTCTCCCTTCTGAAAACCAAGCTCCAGCCCAAGGCCAACTTGGGGCTTCCTTTTCTTTAATCCTGTGCACACAATGCGGAGTGTATCAGTTTGCTCTTATCTTTCCCTTGTAGGGTATGGGAAGGGAAACCCTCTACTGTCTCACTCCTTTCATCGTTTTCTGGGTCTCCAGGTCAGTCTGATAATAGTGCTTCATGCCCAGTGTGTGCAGAGCGTTGTGTTTCTGAAGAGGAATGACATGCGGTAGCTTCTGCCCTAGTTTAGTTTGCTCGGCGTTGGTCTAGTAGTTGAAAGCTCTCCTGTCTGGTGTTATGATCCATTGTATTGCAGCCTGGCTCCATCTTCTCAAACTGACAGGCTTTATGTCAAGGGACAGATCCTCTGGGGACCTTGTTTCTGGTCCCATCAAGAATCATACTTAGTAGTCAAGGAGCTGGAGGTAGTTCTTCTTAGAAGTCCGGTGTTAGGCCCTTAAATAGCAGCAGAATCTTCACTACTGCAACAATTGCATATCAGTTGTCTGTTAGGAGTCAGGTACATTGTGAGGTGCTTGGGATTCAGTGGTGGATAAGACAACTCCCCTACCCTCAAAGAACTCCTGGGGATTTCATGATATAGTCTGTGAGGAAGGTCACACCATAGACAGTAAGAGTGAACTAAAGGATGGAATGACTTCAAGTGCTAAATGGCAGGGGTGCCCCTCAGTGGGTTGGGCTTACCTCCACCTTGCACTGACTGCATTATTGTAACAATAATGGGTTTCCTCACTAGACTGTGTGCTTTGTTTGGCTCTTTATTTCCAGGGCCTATACACTGAGCTCTGTATGCATCAGGTGCTCAAAAAATGCTTGTTGAATAAGTCAGTGAATCCTGAAGTAGGTCCTTCAGGAGTTTGCCTGCGCATCCCAGCAGAGTTTCTCCAGAGTAACGCCTCCTTAACTTCACAAACATGAGGTGAACACATAGCCAGGGGCCATGGGGGAGGTGAAAATGGGTCTTACTTCCCACCTTAATAATAACTAATGACTATTTCTTGAGTGCATCCTTCATATTAAGCATTTTACATGGCCTCATACTCATAATGACATAAGGTAGGAATTCTTTCTTATTTTACAGATAAGGAAACAGTGGCTCAGACAGGCTAAGGAACTTGCTCAGAGCCTCACCTCTGGTAAGTGGAAGAGGCAGGATTTGAATCCTGGTCTGTTGGACTCCTTGCTTGAGCCTTGGCTTGTCTGAGCCTCGCTAGGCCACACTTTCTATTTTAATCATTATTCATCTGTCTGTATCTTCTGCTAGATGGTAGGCTCCTCAAGGAAGGAGACCATGTCTGATTCAACTTTGAGTCCCCAGCAACTGGATCGCTGTTTCTTAGAGTATGGCCTACAGATCAGCTGCATCAGAGTCATTTTGGGTGCCTGTGAAAAATTCAAGTTTATGGGTCTCTCCCAAATTTATTGTAGTGAATTGAATTATGTACCCCGCCTGCCCCCCACCCCCTGCCTGCCATAGATGCATCTGGGAACTAACCCCAGTAGGTGCGAATGTGACTTTATTTGGAAATAGGGAAGATATGATCAAGTTAAGGATCTTTGGATGAGATCACCCTGGATTTAGGGTAGGTCCTAAATCTAATGACTGGTATGTTAGAAGAGAAAGGACAGAGATTTAAGCTGCAGACACACAAGGGAGCAGGCTATGGGAAGATGGAGATACATGAAAGGAAGACCATGTGAAGACAGAGGTAGAGATTGGAGTGATGCAGCCACATGGCAAGGCATGCCAAAGATCGCTGGCAGCCCCCAGAAGCTGGACGAGGCAGATTATCCCTCAAAGTCCCCAGAAAAAGACAACAGCTGACACCTTGATTTTGGATTTCTGGTCTCTGTAACTGTGAGTGACTATGCTTCTGTTGTTTTAAGCCACCCCATTTGTGATCATTTGTTACAGCAATGTATTAGTCCGTTTTCATGCTGCTTATACAGACATACCCGAGACTGGGTGATTTACAAAAGAAAGAGAGGTTTCATGGGCTTACCGTTCCAGATGGCTGGGGAGGCCCCAGAATCATGCTGGAAGGCAAGGAGGAGCAAGTCACATCTTACATGGATGGCAGCAGGCAAAGAGAGAGAGCTTGCGCAGGAGAACTCCTCTTTATAAAACCATCAGATCTCATGAGACTTATTCACTATCAGGAGAACATTATGGAGGAAACTAGCCCCATGATTCAATTATCTCCCACCAGGTCCCTCCCACAACACGTGGGAGTTATGGGAATACAATTCAAGATGAGATTTGGGTGGGGACACAGAGCCAAACCATATCAAGCAGCCACAGGAAACTAATACACCTACTGCTCAAAAGTGCCTGGGGGAAGAGCCCCCGATCTGCCTTTCTTACAAGCTGAGCTGCCCAGGTGATTCCCCTGCCCAGTCAGGTTTGGCTGGCAGGGGTTCCATGGGTGTGACTGGGTCTGGTACCAGCCAGGTGAGATTCAGGGAAGAGTGTGCTCAGCAGCTGTGGTGTTACAAAGTGATTTGGGGACCTGGCAAAAGGACCTAAGGAAGACATCACTGCACAACTAATCTACACTACATGGGATTTTCGTGGACTTGCATTTATTTCTGCAGAAGTCCTGGGTGCTGCCTCCCACCCTGGATCCTCTCTCCATCACCTCTGTTTCACCTCATCATCACCTGCCCAGAGCCCTGTCCTCTCTTTCAATCAGTTTGCTTCCTCCACTTGCCTCGAGGAAGCAGTTTTCATTTAAAACGATCCTACAGAGATCAGTTTTATTTTCATATATTTGGTATAATAAGCTGAAATTACAGCCTTTTCTCAGGCCCTGAAGTAAACACACCCATGCATGTGAAAGAAGCATGGCCGGGTTCTGTTTTGGAAATTAAATGTCTGGGGAGGGGCAGATATTCTTATTGCCACCTGAGGTAAGCTTTCAAAATTGGAGACATCTTGAAGTACAGCTGTGCAGGCAATCAATAACTTTTTATTTCCAAGATAAAAATCCTGGTCATTGCTCAGCCCACCACTCTATGATAAACTATACATAATTCCATTTCACTGTTTGAATTTTGGTTAGATAGCAATCAATCTCCTATTCCTTGAGCATGTTGTGTACAGGAGCCAGGAGGCAGAAGACAGTTAACCGTGGGCCTCCACCCAAAGTAGAGACTGATTTTTGGTTTTTGTTGTTGTTGCTTTAGAGATGAGGTCTCACTCTGTTGCCCAGGCTGCAGTGCAGTGGTGCGATCATGGCTCACTTCAGCTCCATCTCCTGGGCCCGAGGGATTCTCCTGCTTCAGCCTTCTGAGTAGCTGGGGTTACAGGCATGTGCCACCATGCCCAGCCAATTTTTTTTTTTTTTTATAGAGATAGGGTCTCACTATGTTGCCCAGGCTGATCAGGAGCTCCTGGCTTCAAGGAATCCTCCTGCCTCAGCCTCCCAAAGTGCAGGGATTATAGGCATGAGCCACTGTGCCTGGCCTAGCCACTGATATTAGGAAAGGAGAGGTTGAATAGGTATAGAGACCAGCTCTGTGGTTAATTAAGGTAAAGATCCAGCTTTGGGTTTCAGTTGTTGACTTTGACTCTGAAGATAATAAGAGACCTGGGGGTAAGTCCTGGCCCTGCCTTTTTCTTGGTATGAAAGATCAAAAACCCAAACCAAAGTGGATAAGCTTAGAGGCAATTTATTGGCTGATATTGTAGGTTGTATTGTGTCCCCAAAACAATGTATTCAAGTCCTAACACCCTCCCCTCAACTGCCACTACACAAACACCTGTGAATATGACCTTATTTGGAAGTAGGGTCTTTGCAGATGTAATCAAGTTATGATGAGGTCATCTTGGGTGGGCTCTAATCCAATGACCTGGTGTTCTTATCAGAAGAGGCAAATTTGGCCACAGAGATGCGCAAAGAGAAGAAAATGTGAAGACACAGACGGAAGAAGGCATGTGACAACAGAGGCAGAAACTGGAGTCATGCAGCTGCAAGCCAAGGAAAGCCAAAGATTGCTGGCGACCACCAGAAACTAGGACGACGCAAGGAAGAATCCTCCCTGAGAGCCTCACTGAGGAACACGGTCCTGCCAACACCTTCATTTTGGACTCTAACCCCCAGGACTGTGCAACAGTTGAATTCTGTTGTTTTAAGTCCCC